CCTCCGCGTCTACCCCGTTGGACGTCAGTTGACTGATGAATGGATGTTGGCTGGGTGTTGTTCTACTCGGTTGTTGTCTTGCGTTGGCTGGGCGCCCGCGGCGCCAGCCAACGCCAAACAACGTGAAACAACAAAAGAACAACATGTTGTTTTGTTCGTTGTTTGTTCTTGTGTTTGTTGTTTTGTCGATTGTCCCGGGGGGAGGGGGCGGAGTAGGAGGGGAAGGAGGCGGAGTAGGAAGAGGAGGAGGGGGAGGAGTCGGAGGAAGTGCCGGTGCGTTGTCTGGGTGTTGTCTCCGTGTTGGCTGGGTGTTGTCTGGGTGTTGTCGTTTTTTGTTGTTTTCCGTGTCGCTTGTTCCCCCCATCCCCCCCCTTCTCCTCCTCCTCCCCCCCCCCAACGCTCCTTTTCCTCCTCCTCCTCCTCCTCCTCCTCCTCCTCCTCCTTCTCCTCCTCCTCCCATTCAGCGGGCCAACCGCTTTGCTTTGCATTTCTCGGACGTAGTTCCTCCTCCTCCTCCTCCCCCTCTTCCCCCCCTCCTCTCCCTCATACTCATCAGCGGGCCATGCGCTTTGCTCTGCAGTTTTCGGACCGCCAGCCATGAACGCCATCGCCACCACGTCTCCGTAGTCGTCTTGGCTCAAGTTGTGACCAATCGCGGGCCATGGTCTCAAGTCGTGACCTATCGTTCCTGCTCTTGCTCTTCTCCTCCTCCTCCTCCTTCTCCTCCTCCTCCTTCTCCTCATCATCCTCCTCCTCTTCCTCCGACGCTGCGCGCAAGCAACAAGCGGGCAGGCAGCTTGGACGCCCAAGGGCGATGCACTATTTGCGTGAATCAATCCGTACAGATTTAGCGGCCAAGCCGCGGTTACGCACCAGGGCGCAAAGCACATGAGCGGTCAGGCCGCTGCAACGACTGAAGCGGCCCAGCCGCTGCAACGCGCAAGGGCGATATTGCGACAACATGCAAAGCTGCCTGGCCGCCGTATAGGAAGGAGGAGGCATAATAAGATAGTACGCGAAGCGGTCTGGCCGCTGTAGAAAGTCAGGGGGAGCATGAGGATATGGAGGAGGGGGAGGAGGAGGCGCTGCAGGGAACGAGCGGGTGGAGAGCGGGATCCCTGTCCACGGCAGGAGGAGGAGGAGGGAGGAGGAGGCGCTCGTGCTCCAAGCCGACCAAGACTTGGAACACGAGCGCCTCCTCCTCGTCCTCCCTCTCCTCCTCTTCCCCCCTCCTCTCTCTCTCCCTTTTTTTTTTTTTTTTTTTTTTTTTTTTTTTCTCTCTCTCTCTCTCTCTCTCTCTCTCTCTCTCTCTTGGAGCGCAACATTCTGGTGTCGGCGGCGATCTAAAAATTGTTGCGGACCCACCCCCCGGGCAGATCCCGATCTCTGCCCGCGGGTCGAAGTCGACCAGGGGGTGCGGGGTGCGGTTCGTCTGATTGAACGGGCACCGCGCACGTCATTGAAAACAGGGGGTTCGTCAAGTCGGACGGGCACCGCGCATGACGCTACAACGGCGCGGTTCGTGAAATTGAGCGGGCGCCGCGCACTGGCCTGAACGCCTAAATATTGAAAGCGTATTTAACACATATGTAATGTACAAATAATGAAATCGAATGAACAATAATGGAAAATAGTGGAAATAGCGAAGATAGTGAAACGTTGTGAAAAATACTGCTACACAGTGGCAATCATATAAAGCACTTCGTTTGGGATTCACAAGTATCGTTGATAATAAGCTAGGATAGTTCCGATAGGAATATACAGCGAGCGAACAGAGCACTAAAACTATAGGCATTATTGTAGGACTTATCTACCATGCTAACCAGTCCTAACTCCTCCTAACCTCTCCTAAAATAAAATACTCGTAAGTAATTATAAACACTTACTTCTTCGCACGCATCTCAGCATCTAGCGTTTTCGTCATGATTTGCGAATCCCCCACATGTTTGGGGGGGTCCCAGGGTCGCCGGGTTTGCTCTGCCGGGGAAGCGGGGAAGGGGGGGGGGGGCTCCATCCGGCGATTTCTACATGATTTGGTCATCCCCCACATGCTTCGGGGGGTCCCACGGTCGCCGGGGTGGCTCTGCCGGGGAAGCGGGGAAGCGGGGGTGGGGCCTCCACCTGGCGTTGTCTGCATGATTTGCGCATCCCCCAGATGTTTCAGGGGGTCCCGCGGTCGCCAGGGTGGCTCTGCCAGGGAAGCGGGGGAAGTTTGCGCATCCCCCAGATGTTTCGGGGGGTCCCAGGGTCGCCGGGGTGCCAGGGAAGCGGAGGAGGGAGGATGCCACAGAGCCGAGAAGATCACTAAATTCGCAGCCCCCCAGATCTGCGGCACTGGCCGGAGGACATTACAATATTTTCCGATTGTCCCCATACTAATTTTAAGAACTATTTTTGAACATTCCTCCTGTAGAGGGACACGTCCGACTTAACTCCAGCCTCTGGCGGCCGTCCGGGACGATCCCAGCACCCCTGGGGCGCTCTCGCTGAGGGGCGGCTGCTGAAGGCACACCAAAGCTGGAAGCCTCCCGGGAGCCGGCGAGGACGCCCGAATACGCCGTAGGCATCCATACACCACCACCATGCCCGGCCAGGGCCAGCCTGGGCGCTGTCACGGTGTATACGTCCTCCTGGCCGAGCCCAGCAGGAGGATCTATACACCATCCTGGGGCCCAGGATGGCCCAGGCCAGGCACGGTATGGTGGTGTGTGGATGCCCTCTGGCATCCCCGGCCTGCCAGCTCGGGGATGCATCGTGGACCTCCTCGCTGGAGGTGCCCCCCCCCGCCCCCCTGGTGGTGCTGGTGTCACGGCTCCTCCTCCCCCCGCAAGGCCCGTGTGCCTGCTCCCCCCCCCCCCCCGGCCCAGCCAGGGCGGCGCTTGTGCCCGGCGGCGTGATGTTTCCAGGGTGGCAAAGGCCGACGCCAGGTTTAGGTCGGGCATGTCCTCCTGCACGGGAAGTTTGGACGACAGATCAACCTCATGCAAACAAAAATTCAAACATTGCCAAAACATGCTGCCTGTCCCATCGCGCCAACCGTCCATACCGCATGCATGTCGGATCCCGTTTCGGTCGCGTCGAATGCGTGTCGAATCCGTGTCGAGTCCGCGTCGAAGCCCAGGTCGGAGTACAGGAAAGGACAGCCATTGACAGGACAGGAAAGGTCCCCAGAAGATGCAAAGTAAACGACGGAGTGGCACGTTCTCCACGTCGGCGGTGAAAGTCTGGGCAACTTCCCCAGGGCCGGCTCTTCACCCTAGCATCTTGGCCCACCATCCTGTGGTGTTGGGTCCTGGTCCTTGACAGCCCCCCGCGTCCTCCACACTTCTCCTCATCCTCCTCTTCCTCCCCCTGCTCCTCCTCCCACCACCCATCCCTGCCCCAGCCGTCCGCATATCCATTCCGGAACACCGCTCGCACGCCCCGTGGCTCCAGAAGGAGCGCCACCGAGGGCCCCAATGGCAGCGCCCGCGTGGCGTCCGCGCCTCCTTTTGGCACGCCCTTCGCACGATTCGCTGCTACGTGAGGAGCTCCACCGGAGGGCCCCAATGGCAGCGCCCGCGTGGCGGCCCCGCCACATCTTGGCACACCTTTCAGGCGTTCCGTGGCCACATACGTAGGGTTAGGTCGGGCATGTCCCCCTACAGGCGGATTCTGGATGAAGAATTCGAAATATTCAAAACGATTCAAAACATACTCACAAACACTAAAAAGAATAGTTCCCAGACTATTGTTTAAACAATTTCTGAAAATTCTGCTCCACCGAAGGCCCCAGCGGCAGCGCCCGCACCCCGCCCCACTGAGGCACACCCATCACACGCATCGTTGCCCCAGAGGGGGCTCCACCGATGGTCCCGATGACGGTGCCCGCCGCATGGCGGCCCCACTGCATTGTGGCACACCGAATGGCTGCTTCGCCCCTTTCTGGCCCGTCCCTCACACGCTTCGTGGCCACATAGGGAGCTCAACCGACGGCCCCCCAAGTGCCGAAACTGACAAAAAACTAAGGTCTGGCATGTCCCCCTACAGGCGGATTCCGGGCGAAAGAATTTAAGATACTCAAGAACACTACCCCCAAATAATCAAAAATGATGTTGGACAAATCGTCCCTAGACTATTTGTTTGACTATCTCTGAATGTTCCTCCTGTAGAGGGACAGGCCCGACTGAAGGGTTCTGGCTTTCGGGTCCTCCATCGGGCCTCCCGCGGCCGCTTGGGACGCTCGGGGCACCCCTGGAACGCCCTCGCCGAGGCGCCGCAGCCGGAGAGCATACTGAAGTGGGAAAACGTTCGAAAACCTTCAACCATCTCCCTGGGCCCAACTGGGCCCTCGGAAAAACCTGAGAGAAACCTGAGAGAAACAGCGAAAACCTTCGAGCACCTCCGAAAACCTTCAAACAACATGGTCGAAAACCTTCGAATATTTCACGGAGTCCTCCTCCTCCTACTCCTCCTCCTGCTTCTCCGTCTCCTCCTTCCTCTTCGCCTCCTCCTCCTCCTCCTCCTGCTCCGTCTCCTCCTTCATGGCCTCATCATCCTATTCCTCCTCCTCCTCCCCCTCCTCCTCCTCCTCCTCCTCCTCCTCCTCCTCCTCTTCCTCCTCCTCCTCCTCATCCTCCTGCTCCTCCTCCTCCTCGCCGTCGCGGTGCTATCACGGCCCGAGGAAGTCAGGGTTCTAGCAGGGCGTCCCGTCTCTCAGAAGCCACCCTGCCTTGTAAAGCAGCCTCCTGGGTACCCCCTGGGGCAAAGACAGACAGCCTCCGAGAAGCCTCCAGGAGCCTCCGTCTCCTCCTTCCTCTCCTCCTCCTCCTCCTCCTCCTCCTCCTCCTCCTCCTCCTCCTCCGTCTCCCTCCTCCTCCTCCTCCTCCTCCTCCTCCTCCTCCTCCTCCTTCTCCTACTCCTCCACGCCTTCGAAAAGGCGCAGCCTGAGCCTGGCCACGGGCGGAACGCACCTCCAAAGGGCCTCCCCTCGCCCTGCCCGCCGGCCCGCGCAGGCGGGCCTCAGCACCGCCCCGTCGCGCGGATGCCGCAGGTGCTCCACCGC